ACGTATACTTAGAAAAATCTTCAAAAAATCGTATCCTTGGCAACAACCTTATTATTTATTAATTTTGCTCTTACACCCCAAATTTTGACAGCAGCGGGTTGCACTTTCAGTAAAAATTAGTGTTTAATTCACGACCTACAATAAATCATTTTCGTGATTGTTTATTGCTTAATGTCAGTTGTTCTTCTATGTTTAAACATTATTTAGATTTGGCATCGCTTACGCAATATTAAACGCCCACAAGAAATGAAACATGCACGTTCTAAAACATCTTATCAAGGAATATATGTTGAATATAGTGCACATATTTAAAACAGCCTTTTATTTTTTCCAATACATTTATTTATATCCCGTTAAGTTATAAAATTCTAACGATAACCGTGAAAGGGATGGATGATGTTTAAAAAACGGCTTGATCGACAGCTATTGGGTCGGTATATTCAAAGGGATAAATAAATAGAATTTAAGGTTATAAATGGAGCGGTGTATGTAAAAAAAAGGCGCAACGCTTTTCTGCACTGGCATTCACCAGGAAACCTGTAGGGCCGGTTGTTTTTTAGTTTATCGTACCACAGTATACCACCATTGTATACATTGCGCTGGATAGAAAAAGCACTACTGAAAATAATTTTAAGACAAAATATCATTCATATTTAAAAATGTCCTTGGAGAAAATGCCTAACATAACCCTTCTCAAAAAAGTTTTATATCGAGAAATAAACCACATGGCCTTCCTTCATAAAGTAGGCAACTGTTCGCACGCCCTTAATATAATCAATACTCACCTCAATGACGATTTAGTTTTCATTTGCATTAAACAGATTTGACTGCACTGGTTGGCATAACACTTTACCCTTGATAACCATGAATAGCGTCGTGTTCATTCCTCATATTGTGAGACTATTTTTTAAACCAAGGAATGATATAAAGGGCTTAAATTAGTGCCGTGTTCAACATAGCAGAACATGTGTTTTTGGCAAAGCATCATTGGTTCTGTAGAATTGTTTTCATAATTAAAATACGAGAGTTGTAAAGGATTTATTAATGTCTGCCGGGAACCAACCAACTTCTGTCAGAGCCTTCGACAACGGGGGTTGACAACAGCCGGGACAGTGACTACGTGACTAACGAATCCATTGATTTCCAGTCCGAATACACATACACTCTCGCTGCCATAACCGACGCTTTGTTGTGCTTAAATGTCGTCCCCATCACTCGGTGACAGTTGTTTACTCCACTTAATCGACCTATAACTACTATTCAGAGCCAAACTTAATCTCTCCCCTCCCCTCCCTTCAGCATGCCACCTGATCATACAGGCGGTGCGTGGACGATTAGTTCTGATTATGAACATTGTCCAACTTTTCTGTTTTTATCATAAATACAATTGTACAGGCTCCAGGGCTGAGTTGCTACAGACAGCTGTTTGGCTAATCGACCTTTCAGGTTTTATAACAGTTAATAACAGCGTGTTCTACAAATCATGGTTTCCACGCACCTCTTGGAATAGGGGGTTGGCCACAAGCCTACCTGCATCATCCGACAACAAGTACTGCAGCCGAAAAGCCCTATACCTAAACAGGAGAAGTCAGGTGTCATCTACCGACTTCAGTGCAGCTGTGGGACATACAATTATGT